AGATGTGTATATATATGTAGGCATATAGTATACAGTATTATTGTATAGGCCTATGTTTGTTCAAATAATAAACAAAATAAAAAGAAAACTTTGAGTTTTTAGACAGTAAAACACATCTTTTATTCTTAAATAAAAATGTTTGTGTTCTACTGTCTGTTTTTTTTTTAATCATTATGTTTGTGTGTATGCCTAGGCCTATGTAATAGGCTACAAATATAACATGAATCTAAATAACCAAAACATTTCAAGCGTGAGCGCACTGACCATTTTAGTGGATATTGTTAGACGCCTTAAAAATAATTCCATAAGTAGGATTATATTTGATGTTTTGATGATAAACTGGCAGCGAGTTTTAAATTAACATCAATATGGCTGTAGCGCTCATTGTCGGGGCGTTTCTTGATAAATCACATGACAAAGCATAAGCAGAAAAACCGATATGATCTTGCTGATGTACACGAAGGCTACACATCTGCAATTATGCTTATTGCTTAGAATAGTATTTATTACGGTATGTAATGCTTACCATTATTAGGCTCCACATAAAATACATTAATCAGTATGCTAATCGTAAGCAATGTTTGTAGTTTTACTGTAACTAGCGTCGATGATTGTTGAGTGTTTTTAGCACCAGCCATTTTAGCGTAAACGGCAAACCAGCAAAAAAAGGCTTTGAAAGCGTTATACATAGCGTACCGGGGAATTCCCGGGTATTTAATTAGGTCTTCATTATCCTTCTGGAGTTGTTATTCAGCTCCTTTTTCAAAGCTTTAGGCCATGGTCATCAATTAATAATGTGATATGAATATGGTAGTTGAGTTGTTTTATATCAATCAAAAGGAAAAATTACGAAAATGGCGTAAATTGGTAATGTGATTCACCCCATAACCTCAACGGAAGCCTCTGTATTTTTTTCCTTCGTGAATATGAAGTAAATCCGCTCGAAATCGCGGCAGGCCTAAAAAAGTAGCTCAATACCGTTGAATTGCACAAATCAATCGTGTGTTAGATATGAGCTGAGTTTTATAGGCCTAATACCTGAATTATTTTATTCAGTTCATTGACGTAATTCAAGAAATTGACACCGTGAGCTAGACTAGATCTTAAGCAGGCTTTTACTCATTGTCACAATATTAAAATAGGCCTACGTTAAAAAAAACCCCCAAAAAACAAACAAAACAATTTTCTAGTACAATAATACTAGATTCCGAAAGGTCCACTGGTTAATCTCAGATAAGAAAGTATAATACATACTCCAAGTATTGAAATACACGCCATCGTGTTGGGATTCAATATTTCGACATTAAATTTCATCATCAGGAATACTAGATTCTATTACATTACAGTATATATAATAATACAATAAGGCAAAAGAATAATTGCTGTGTATACACTCAATCTGAAAATCAGGGTCGGCTGGCAATTTCATACTATGGGTCTAAACATAGTTCTAGGTTCATTCACCCCACTGGTTGGTAAAGGGGCCCCACACGGCCACGGAAAACACCCATAAGGAGGTATCAAATGACTGTTGACCGCTATAAAGTTTAAAACTATTTTTACAACATTATCGACAGTATATAGTTATTTGCTTTAGCGATTTACTCTCTATCCAGGTTTGCCTAAAAATCCTGAAAATGATTTAAGTTTTTACATGGACATCTTCACCAATGTATTGGCACCGCGGTACAGAATTATCCTGATTTTGCTATCACAAGATAACACGTGTTGAAACTCAACAAGATTCTAACAACATTGATTGACATTCAAAAATCACAAGTAAAAAATGTTGTAACCAATTATTGAAATATAACATTAAATAAACAAGGTGAAAGCATTAACTCCTAGCACTGAGCATCAAAACAAAACGCCTTCCCGATCCCAGCTACAGTTAAAGACAACTAGGAGAATACAACTTAATATTTAACTTCTACCATCCCGAACCTATTTTCAGTTTTGCTCTTTAAAAGCCAGGCTCCAGATGTGTTGTAGGCAACAAATTATTTTTCTAAGATACGAAAAACCAATTATCTATAAAAGTAAAGTTAAGTACAGACTTGGACTTGGGAAACAATGTCCTTGGGTTATGTTTTATTGGAATTAAAGAGTTTAATAAGCTGTGATTTCTTAATTAACAATGAAAAAGCAAAAAAGAAATGGTCAATGATTGACCTTAACAAAATAAAAAAATATTATATTGGTTAAACTTGGTGAAAACAATTTCACCATATTATAGTCTGAAGGAAAACTATTTCGAAAAAATAATGTAGCCTATAAATGTTGTATATACACTGTAGTGTTTATAAATACAAGCGAACAAACTTTAAAAAATAGGCTTAAACAAAAGCTTGACCTTTTATTATATCCTTTATTAAAATGACAGAAAACAAATAGAAAAAAATGGCATGGTAATTGTACACCTTGACCGATGTGCATAAATTTCAAGTGAAAGTAAAAAAAATTGTTAAAGATATTTTAAGAAGCTATATTGAACAACTCTTTACAAATTATACTGTGTATGCTGAACTTATGAATAAAAGTGGGGCGACCCCACAAAAGAGAAAAAAAAAAAAAACAAGGTGAAATTAACTCCTAGCACTGAGCATCAAAACAAAACGCCTTCCCGATCCCAGCTACAGTTAAAGACAACTAGGAGAATACAACTTAATATTTAACTTCTACCATCCCGAACCTATTTTCAGTTTTGCTCTTTAAAAGCCAGGCTCCGGATGTGTTGTAGGCAACAAATTATTTTTCTAAGATACGAAAAACCAATTTGAAGAAATACCCGGGAACATTTATGAGGTAAAGATTTGTGAATATTTAAAAATTGGGCGAAAAGTATAGTTACGCCCCTTTTTCCCAGTTTTTAAATATTCAAAAATCTGCATCCGTTCCCAACCTTTTCGTCATATATGCTTTTTGGCAGTTGTCAACAAATCAGTTGTAAAATATACCGTATCAAAACAAATTTCCTTCGCTGCCTGACTTTAATAATACAGCTAAAATACAGTAGATATCGAATAAGTAAATAATGCATATGAATAAATAGAAAAAAAAAATCAACAAAACATAAATAACATGAAGCGCCATTTATAATCACTTCGGTTTTTTAAATGGTGCTAGGCCATAAGTTAATCTTACCTTATCATTATTATTTATTAGAATAAACATGAGAATAAAATTATAGAAACATATGAAAACATACCCATGAACCTGCTAGCCATTATATGACACACATAAACTAGCTATAAAACAATGGCATTTGAAATGTCTACCACTAACTCCTAGTTTGATTTGATTTATTAGGTACTCGACATAACAATACAAGAGAAACAAAGACAAAAGAGCCGACGATAGTCATGCTCATTTTCAATGGGGTCCTTACAAAACCAATACAATAAGACACACAAAAAAGACAGAAATAGATTTTCAAAATTACAAAAAAAGAACAGGCAAATAGGTATAAATATATATATATTTATATATATATATATGTAACAAATGTAAATATATATATATATATAATATATATATATATATATATATGTAACAAATGTAAAAATATATATATATATGTAACAAATGTAAAAATGTACAAAAGTAAAAGCAAAAATTCTTAAAATGTTTATAAAACGTTATGAAAGATAAAATCTTCACAGGCAAGAAAAGAGAAGCATACGTTAAAAACATGTTTAAAATTCAAAAGGTAAAACAATTTAGGTTTCTGAAAGGTGTTTTTTTTTAGTTTAGTTTTAAAATTACTCTGTGATCTAACAATTTTCATCGTAGTTAGTACCATCCATGAGTAAATTATGATTTTCACGTAATTTTACGTACTGTTGGTGTTCTGCATTTCTTCAGGCAGATCAATAAACACGAATTTACTATTAGACGTAACACAAAGGCTTTTCTTGCATGATGTGCATGTACGGTACGTCTAATATACACAGAAATCATAAATTTACCCCTGAAACATAACTTTTAATCCGATTATGATTTGATAATTAAATTATACGTCAATGTCATCAATTAAATAATATAACCAAAAGAGCAAATAGAGTACAAAGCAATAGTCTATTCTAAATTGTCCTGCTTACTTATATGCAATACTGTAATATGTTACACTTATATAGCGATTGTTGCCAACAAGACCTCTATTCGCTTCACTTTATTACCACCGGTCGTTGGATCAAGCACATGGAACACATACTGAGCTCCATAATTAGAATTCCATAATGCTGCAACTCTAATCACCGAATTTTGTGTTTGAGTCTACCAGGTAGGCCTATATACTTGTACTCATACCCAAATCCCCTCCCCCATCCTTTGGCTAAAAAAACAAAAAGGAAAAAGAAAAATAAATCTACCTTTTTTTGTTGTTGTTACAATGGGAAAATTAGAAGTCGAGAAAGCTCATTTCCCGCTATCTAGGAATCGAAGTTTTCCTTGGGAGGACTCCGACCACCTTTCTTTTTGGGGTTCATCGATTCATGGAAAAAAATATGTATGTGACTACTCAATTGTTTTCTGTATGTATACCGGTACACACATAATAGGTCTATTTACTGTAATAAGAATGACAAAAAATTACCTGACCGTTTTCAATAGGGGAAAACCTTGAATTTTTAAGAACTCATGTCATTAAAAGACACTTCAAAAGTCGAGAACTCATTTCCCGCCATCTAGGAATCAAAATTTTCCCAGGGAGGACCCCCTTTCTTTTTCGTGATTTTTGGAAACATTCTGACCCTCCTCCTAAATTTGTACCACGATTCACCCCAGCAGCATGCAAGCTCACAAGAAAAGAACAAATAAAATTACTTATAAGAGTAATCAAAAATTTATATTTTCCTACCATCAGTTCATGGAAAAAAATATGTATGTGACTACCCAATTGTTTTCTGTATGTATACCGGTACACACATAATAGGTCTATTTACTGTAATAAGAATGACAAAAAATTACCTGACCGTTTTCAATAGGGGAAAACCTTGAATTTTTAAGAACTTAAGTCATTAAAAGACACTTCAAAAGTCGAGAACTCATTTCCCGCCATCTAGGAATCAACATTTTCCACGGAGGACCCCCCCACCCCACCCCAACCAACATTTTGTGGGTTTTGGAAACATTTTTAACCCCCACCCTTAAATTTGAACCAAGATCCAACCCTGCGTATGTAAAGAGCTTTGCCTAAAAACACCAGCAAAATTCACAGCTAGGGATTGAACTCTAAGTTGAAGAAGCAGAACCGCAACCGCTGCGCCAAACCGCAGGCCTACGTATATGCACAGATAGGCCTAATAAAATGATAATTATCTATATATAAGCAAAGCACAGTGTTTCTGAATGGCGACATACAGAGATTTTCTCCAAAAAGCATCTTAATATCACCCTTTTAATAAGCTTGTATAAAATCTGACGAACTCTAATATTCATTAAAGCATTGCTAAATTACTATGATTTACCATTGTCAAAATTAAGAACAGTTTGTGATATATTTTGGCATCAACCTAGAGAAAGTATCAACCATCAAACTGAGACAGTTATGATAATAAGATACACTTACACAATACGACAGGAAGGTAGGACAAACCTGGCATTCTCATGGCTCGTAGAGGAAGGTTATGGATTGCATACTGGACAATTTGGAGAAAGTGGATGAACAAAATCGAGGAGGAATTGGGAGATCAATAAATTGGTGAAGGCGAGGTAAAGTATATGGAGAGCCATGATAGATGACGTCCACATCATTTCATTTCATTTATTTATTTGACATCAAACGTCCAGGGGTTGCATCAACAACAATGCGCCATAACACGAATGTGTCTGCAACCCCTGTACAAACAACAGATTACATTGTTAAAATTCAGTAAAAAAAATTCTTAAATATATAACAGTAATTTTTTCTTATCAATTTATGCATTTTAATTGTTAATTGTTTTATGTTCTTTTTACTTGGAATTGTTTTAAATTTGTTTAAGGGCCGAGAGGAAATACGTTTTTTTATATTTCAAAACTTCTTTTGGTTACCTTAGGAATTAAGCCTGTCGTTTTTAATTATTTATCCGTTCTTTGTTTATGTTTTGTATTTCAGACATGTTTTTTATGCTTATTATTCATGTATTAATCATTATGCTGTCATTATTATATACCACCCATCATCTTATCAAGTGAGAAGACGTGATATCTAGTACACAAACTATGGTTTTGTTCATCGTCTTTGTCGTTTATATAATGTGTCTTGTAAATCATCAAAAACCAAGATTTGTCTTTACATGTGAATGGCAAGATTTGTTCGCATTGAACTTTACTTCTATTTTCCAAGATAGTAACGAAGTCGTAAGTGGTATCCAATGAAATCTTGTTGTCTTTTACTGGTTTCAGTCGGATCGCTTTGTCATTGGTTGTGTCTTGTTCCAGATGCCACAATCCCTCCCATGTTGACCTATCCTGTATCTGCGACCCTTCGGCGTTGGATGTTACTTCGATTTCAGGCTCTCTTGTTAATTTACTTCCATATGACTCGCTTTTTAGTTTGGTTAGCAATTTATTGCTGACTGTTCTAGCTAATCTGCCGATTGAACTCTGCTTTTTTACCCTTTCCGCAATATCTTCCATTGCATCTCCATGAGGCGCTTCCATTGTTGGCATTACCTGTTCATCGTCTGTTACTTTATTTGATTCTGATGAGCCTTCTCTTATTGATTTTCCTGCTGATTCCTCCTTAATGAATGATGAATCGTCAGTAAGGGATGCACTTTCAGAGTATTTTGTTAATTTACTTCCAGATGATTCTCTTTTCGACTTGGTTGACAATTTATTGCTGACTTTCTTAGCTACTCTGCCAAATGAACTCCATTCCTTTACCTTGTCAGAAGACCCTTCCATTGAATATTCAGGTGGCTTTTCCACTATTGTTGTAGGCCTATTTGCTGTTAGTTCCTTCTTAATCAATGCAGATTCTTCAAGCACAACACATTCAGACTCTTTTTCATCATCTGTCAGTTCATTGGTTTCTGGTGGCTCTTCCATTTTTGTCACTATTTCTTTATCGTCTTTTAGTTTAGTTGTTTCTGATGAGCCCTTTTTTATTCTATATTCTGCTGATTCCTCCTTAATGAATAAAGGTTTTTCAGTAAGCGATGCACTTTCAGACTCTTTGGTTAATTTACTTCCATGTGACTCTGTTTTCGACTTGGTTGGCAATTTATTGGTAACCTTCTTTACAAATCTGCCGAGTGAACTCTGTTTCTTTAAATTGTCTGATGACCCTTCCATTGAATCTCCTTGCTGTTCTTCCATTATTTGCATTACCAGTTCATCGTCTGTTAGTTTATCTATTTCTGACGAGCCTTCTTTTATTGTATTTCCTGTCAGTTCCTTCTTAATCAATGCAGATTCTTCACGCGTAACACTTTCAGACTCTTTTTCATCATCTGTCAGTTCATTTGTTTTTGGTGGCTCTTCCATTCTTGTCTCTATTTCTTTATTGTCTTTTAGTTTATTCGTTTCTGATAAGCCCTTTCTTACTTTATTTCCTGTTGATTCCTCCTTAATGAATGAAGATTCTTCAGTAAGCGATGCACTTTCAGATTCTTTTGTTAATTTACTTCCAGGTGACTTTCCTTTTGACTTCGTTGGCAATTTATTGGTGACCTTCTTAACAAATCTGCCGAGTGACTTCTTAAAATTGTCTGATGATCCTTCCATTGAATCTTCTTGTTGTTCTTTCATTGTTAGCACTACTTGTACATCATCTGTTAGTTTATTTGTTTCTGATGAGCCTTCTATTATTGTATTTCCTGTTAGTTCCTCCTTAATCAATACAGATTCTTCAAGCATAACACTTTCAGACTTTCTTTTATCATCTGCCAGTTCAGTTGTTTCTGGTGGCTCTTCCATTCTTGTCACTATTCCTTCATCGTCTTTTAGTTTATTTGTTTCAGATAAGCCCTTTCTTATTTTATTTCCTGCTAATTCCTCTTTAATGAATGAAGATTCTTCAGTAAGTGATGCACTTTCAGATTCTTTTGTTAATTTACTTCCAGGTGACTCTCTTTTTGACTTGGTTGGCAATTTATTGGTGATCTTCGTAACCAATCTGCCAAGTGATCTCTGTTTCTTAAAATTGTCTAATGACCCTTCCATTGAATCGCCTTCTTGTTCTCCCATTGTTAGCATTACATGTTCATCGTCTCTGAGTTTATTTGTTTCTGATGGGCCTTCTTTTATTGTATTTCCTGTTAGTTCCTTCTTAATCAATGCAGATTCTTCAAGTATAACACTTTCAGACTCTTTTTCATCATCTGTCAGTTCATTTGTTTCTGGTAAGCTTTCTTTTATTACATGTTCCATTGATTTTTCATTATTAACTGAGGATACTTCTGTTTTTGATACACTTTCGTACTGTTGTGTTGATTTAATTCTAGATGACTTTCTAATGAATGATATTGCATTTGTGACCTTTCTAGCTGCTTTGCCAAACAAAGCCCATTCCGGTACATTTTGAAACGATACTTCTACAGAGTCTTCAGATGTATTTTCTAAAGTTAATGTTCCCGTTTCATCTTTTACCGGTTCATCTGTTTCCGGTAAACTTTCTTTCATTCCATCTACAGGTGATCCTTCACCTCTCTTAGCAGAACTCTCAGCCTCCTGCTGTCCTGAAGTCTGCTGAATGTATTCCATGGATGACGCACCGACTAACGAACCATTAATAATGGCAAAAGTGACTACGGGCATTTGAAAGTGCCAGTCCTGAAATATACAGTATAGAAGAATATAATTAGAAACATCGGTATTATTGTTAAAATAATGGTGAAATGTTTGTTTATAATATTCTACTTTTGACTTACCAGTACTTTAGTCTTTTCTGTAAACGTTGCGCAATAATCTTTGCTTTGTCCTTCGTATAAGACCGTTTTGGAATCTAGAGATGAAATAATCACAACCACTTCTTTTCCATTGCCTCTTTCTGTTGCCTAAAATGTAATCAAACGTCATTCATTAGCTAATAGGACATAGAAATTGTCAAAATTATTATGAAATATTACAATATTTTAATTTTATTTTTACAAAGCACTGGTTGTGGTAATGTTTTATTGTTCCTATTATGTATAATGCAAAATGAAGCTAATAAGAAAAAAGTCACATTCCACCACCAACCTTGTGTTCCTAACCTTTTTCTAGAGTGCTTGAACAATGGAACGAAAACATTTGCTCATAATCAGTAGTGGTAGTTGTAGAGGTACCGTAGTTTTGGCAGTTGTAGAATTACTGGTAGTGTAGTAGTAGTGGTGGTGATAGTAGTATTAGTGATTGTGAAGTCATAGTAATCACAATACAATATACCGTATTAGTACAGTGCTAAAAATGTCTTTAATAAGTGAAATAGCAACCGTAGTGGTAGCATATAGGCCTACCTGTATTCGCATATTTTCCACTGCTCCTTCAATCTTCAAATTTTCTCCTAAACTCCAATTAATTTCGTCATCTGTCCACATGATAAACGGTTCATATTCTTAAAGAACATAAAAAGGAGAAAACACATATATGACTACTGTATTTGTTAAATATTTAAAATTCTGGCCACGAATCGGGCTACACGTTGGGAAGTATCATAT